GCCACAATTGTAAAGTTAATCATTGCATTTGTTAAGTTAGTAATATGATTGTTAAGGGAATCTGGCTTCCCCATTGACTTTGCTGGTCACTAGGTCACAAAAGGGGATCGCATGACCTTGGACACAGCAACGATCATGAAGTATGAACCAGTTACCAAGCATATGAATTCAGATCATGTGTTCATGGGGATGCTGCAAAGGTCGTAATGTTGAAAAATGGTCATAAGTCACATTTTTCAGTGCCACTGTAACTTTGAACAGTCACTAAACAAACTTTTGTAAGTCAAGGACTACCTGTATTCTATCCATAGCTAATGACAGCATTATTGCAGATGGAAATTGATTTAATTGCTTCCTTTTTAAAGAAAGAGAGAGAGAGAGAGAGAGAGAGAAAGAGAGAAAGAGAAAGAAAGAAAGAAAAAGAAGGGAAGAAAGAAAGAAAGAAAGAAAGAAAGAGAAAGAAAGAAAGAAAGAAAGAAGGAAAGAAAGAAAGAAAGAAAGAAAGAAAGAAAGAAAGAAAGAAAGAAAGAAAGAGTATTTTAATAAGGTGCTCTACACAGCCTAGCTTTCATTGGAAATAAGCCTGGACTGAATTTAAATATGCCTTTACCTGTCAAAAACAAAGAAAATAAAAATTTTCATACTCTTTTGGGGATAAGGTCAGCCAGATTGTATAACACTTACTACCGCTGATGCTTTGGTAACAAAGCCATTTTTAAAAGTATTTCTAAGCAGCAAGGAAAACAACAGAAGAAACCGATGCTGGAATAAGCTCCTAAATCAGTGATGGCTAACCTTTTCGGAGCCGAGTGCCATAAGCACCCGTGATCCCCCTGCCCCTGCCCTGCCCCCCCCCCCCGTGCATGCATGTGTGACCCCCTGCATGCGCCCCCACATATGCGTGTGACCCCCACATGTGCCCCTCCATGCATGTACACACAACCACCCTCACATGCGCGGCAGAGACCCGAAAACCAGGAGGAAGCGCATGCACATGCATGGCAGAGCTGAGCTGGGGTGACGGCTTGTGTGCCCGCAGAGAGGGCTCTGTGTGTCACCTGTGGCACGTGTGCTATAGGTTCGCCTTCACAATCCTAAATGATTTTCCTTGCAATATTAGTTGGATTGGAATCATTGTGGCATTTTATAAAAGCTGTCAAAAAAGCCACCGGAACCCATAAACAATATTTACATGTACATACAGTGCTTTACCCATATTTCACATACCTAAATCAAATTGAAGTCCAGTTTATGTTACCTTGGGCTAAGCTTTTAGCAGAGACCTCAAGAACCCTTAGCAAAGCCTTACTGGAGTCAGCGTCTCCTCTCTTGCAAGCAGCAAAATATCTGCCTAAATAACCATTTTAATGGAGAAGGAGAGAAAACAGCTCTCTTTCTTTTTCTTTTTTTCATTGAATAAGCTATCTAAGGAAGCAAGCAAAAGTTCAGACCAACCTTCCCTTTGAGGCACTCTAAGACAACAGTTCTAAATTATTTTTACACGTTCTATTTCAAGGCTCTTAAAGAATACCGAGTCCTTGTCCTTAGCTATGGAAGAATTGAGGCCGTATGCTAATTCAAAGAGAAACAAAGTAGGGACACAACCCCCCTTTTTGTAAGATGGGGCCATATATATATGTGTGTGTGTCAGTTGTTTGATGAAGGCTTGAAATCTTTTCACTATATTCTTTCTCTGAAAGGGCTTTAGGTGAAGGATGGAGAACTGTAACATTCAAGATATCTGTGGCCTAATTGCACACTAAAAAGCATAATTTGGAGGAAAAAAAACATTCTGGAATCAGGACTATTTGCAGACAGCATTTGGAAATCCATGGTAAAACCCACTGTGGGAAGCCAGTTGATATCTGAACATATGAGAAGCATATTATCCATAATAATGTCCTAATTTCATTGGCTGGGCACATCTTATATGAACACAACCACTGCATTTGGTTAACCTAGGTCTAATGTCTTGTATGAACTCAACACATATACGCAGGGGTGGGCTTCAAAAATTTTAGCAAGGGGTTCTCTGCCCGGTTGCTGGGTGGGCGTGGCCATGGTGGGCGTGACCTAGTCGGCCTCCTGCACCACGGTGTGTGTGTGGGGGCGTTTTTGCCCTCCCCAGGCTCCGGAGGCTTTTCTTGAGCCTCCGGGAGGGCAAAAATGGCCTCTCCAGGTTCCGGAGGCCCTCTGGTGGCCGGAAACAGGTTCATTTCCGGCCTTCCCAAACTTCTGGTAGGCCTGGTTTTCACCCACCCCGAGCCTCCGCGCATGCCCTGCACTTACCTGCATACAAAACAGGCCACGTGGTACTCCTGAAAGCAGCGGGGTGGGGTGGGCAGGGCCAGCCAGGAGTGGGATTTGGGGGTTCTCCAAACTGCACAGAATCTTAGCTAGAGGTTCTCCCAAACCTCTGTGAACCCCCAGCAGTCCACCCCTGCATATACGTAGACCAAGTTGGCAATTCTTCTCCAAATCTTGTCTTAGTCAGACACGTTGTACTTCAACCTCCATAATCCCTTGTGAGCACAGCCATTGGCTAGGACAGCGATGTCAAACTCGCGTCATCATGGCAGCATCACGTGACATATTGGGACTTTTTCCCCCTTCACTAAATGGGGGGGGGGCAGGCCCAGTACATGACACATCCAGCCCACTGGGTCGCGAGTTTGACACCTCTGGGCTAGGAGTTCGACTGTGGGAGTTGAAGAGAAAGACACCTGGAGAGCATCAGAAGACTCATTAAGGGTCTCTCAGGAGCCTAGAAGGAAATAAAAAGTTGTTTGCTTTTTTTTCAGCCTAGTTCCCAGTAATTGGAGCCCTGGTTTATGCTCTAAATGTTTACTACTATCATGAGAGAAAAGCATATGTCCGTATCCTTTTTCTCTGATAGTTTATCTCTTTTATTTTACCTACATTTCTCCCCGATTTCCACTTTCTCGTGTTTTGTTTCTTCCAGGCATAGGTTTTCAAAGCACCCTTCCAGCAAGACAAAAACAAATATTTCATTGGCTAGCTTGGAAAAGAAATTCCAAAACCGTGATGTCTCTGTACCTACAAAGAGCAAAATCATTCAAGCCGCAACATTTTATGGAAGCAAAAGCTGGACTTTGAAGAAGCAAAGTGGGAAGGGTATTGGTGGCTTTGAACTTTGAAGTTGAATAAAACTCCTGAGAATATAGCCAAGAAAACAAACAGATGGATCACTGAACAAACCAATCCAGAGTTTTCATTTGAGACATAAATGACTAGGCTCACATTATCCTACTCTGGCCACATCATGCAAAAACTCAGCTGGGAAAAACTCAGTGGAAAGAAAGAGAACAGCACAGCCAGCAGCAAGATTACAAGATTACATTCAGAGTTACAGGGGCTCTGAATGCACAGTGGGAAAGCCTGAACAACCAGGTTAAGGAGAGATCAACAGGGAGAAATTATTTCTATAATATGTGTTTGTTAGGTAAAGGTAAAGGTTCCCCTTGCACATATGTGCAAGTTGTTCCCGACTCTAGGGAACTCTGAGGGGCGGTGCTCATCTCCGTTTCAAAGCCGAAGAGGCAGTGCTGTCCGAAGATGTCTCTGTGGTCATGTGGCCAGCATGACTGAATGCCAAAGGTGCACAGAACGCTGCTACCTTTCCACCAAAGGTGGTCCCTATTTTTCTACTTGCATTTTTTATGTGCTTTCAAACTGCTAGGTTGGCAGAAGCTGGGACAAGTAATGGGAGCTCACCCCGTTACACAGCACTAGGGATTCAAACTGCTGAACTGCCGACCTTTCAATCAATAAGCTCAGCATCTTAGCCACTGAGCCACCGTGTCCCTTGTTTGTTCTGAGTCAGCAGCAATTTGATGACCCATAATCAATCATTGGTTTGCCAAGGGACTGGGTCTTCTTTAATTATTCTAATGAAGTTTCAAGCTAGGACTGAACAGTTTTGACCCATCAGCACATTTTGTCAGGGCAAATTTTCACTTGAGAGGGGAAGCTGGAAGATCTCCATCTTAGATTCACAGTCCAGATTAAACTCATATATAGAAGGATAATGTGCCTAACTTCAGATAACTCTTCAGGCATATGATTATATGGTTTCTAGTTCATTTGCTAATACTTAAGCTTTTATCAAGATTACCAGTTAGTTTGCTGTGACCAAGAACAGACGAATTAAAACAGTTCTAGAACTTGCAATTAAAAAAAATAAAACCTGTTTACATTAAAACAAGATTGATATACAGCATTTTAGTGCTTTTTTTTTTTTTAAATCACTCTGTGATTTACTGGTGAGATTTACATAGCATGTTCAATTAGATTAAAATGAAGTTGTATAATTTGCATTTCAGAATCTTTGGGAAACCAGGCAAAATCTAAGCATCCTGTACAAATCTAGCTACCATTGTAAACCATATTATAGTTTATTGTTTGGAGAAAACATGTTAGCTAAACATAACAATAACTTTTGTCAAGACAAGTGAATCCTGCCAATGAATGCCAGCATGACTTAATAGCAAATTGATTAAATATTTTTTTTTTCCCATTCAGGGAAGAATAAGGGATACCCTTTACATGCCAGCATACACCAATTTCTTCCCTGATCAAACTAACCAAAACTCTAAATCCAGTTTAGCCAAAGACAATTGTTCGTCTATGACAGGAGTGGGGAATTAAGGCCCCTTTATGAGTTGTGGACTTCAACTCCCAGAATTCCTGAGCCAGCCATACTGGTTCAAGAATTCTGAAAGTTGAAGTCCACAGGACATAAAAGGGCTGTAGTACCCCCACCCCTGCTCTATGGATACCCAAATATTGCGGTATGCACTTGCTTCACAGAGGACTGTGTTGCAAATGTCCATTTCACACAGAAAACTAACAACTCAACAATCTTACACAACAGGGAAATATGAATCTGTTGATTAAAATGAAATCCCCAAAACATTATTTTAAAACTCAATGTTACTGCAGAAAAAAAAAAATTGGAGTAAAAGGGAATAGAGACTTACACTGTACGATCAGCTGTACCAATGCTTCCCTTGGCTTGACGTTAAATCCATTGTACTGACTGGTTTGACACCTGTAGGTCCCTGTCATCTCCCTTGAGACATTGACAATCCTCAGGATCCCATCATAGCTCTCCATCTGCATTGTCCCATCTGGCATGGGAACTTCCTTGTCTGCCCTGGACCAGAGGATGATAGGCTTGGGTTTCCCGGTCACCTGGCACTGCAGTTCAATGGTATCTCCTTCTCTGGTGACCAAGGGTGACTTTTCTTGTGGAACAGTCAGATTGGGTGGAACTTCAAATGGGCGCAAAGGGGAAAGGAAAGGAAGAAAACAAGAAGTGGAAATGAAATGGTTAGTACGTGAGAGTTCTGTGACTTTGAATGCATAATCGGACATTATAAGGCATAATTTAACCATCTCTGGAAGAGTATGACAGAATAATAGAATGACAGAGTTGCAACGGACTTTGGAGATCTTCTAGTCCAACCCACTGCTCAAGCAGGAGAACCCATACCTTTTCAGACAAATGACAGCCCAATCTCTTCTAAAAACAACCAATGATGGAGCACCCACAATTTCTGGAGGCAAGCCGTTTCATTGATTAATTGTTCTAACTGTCAGAAAATTTATCATTCTTTCCAGCTTGGTTCTCTCCTTGATTAGTTTCCATCCATTACTTCTTATCCTGCTTTCAGGAGCTTTGAGGAATAGATTGACCCCCTCTTCTTTGTGGCAACCCCTTATATATTGGAACATTGCCATCATGTCACCCTTAGTTCTTTTTTCCATTAAACCAGACATATCTAATTCCTGCAACCATTCTTCATCTAATTACCGTCTATGAGATTACCTTATTTTATAGCTAATCTTTTTGTAGGAGGATGAGTAACAAAAATAAACGAATAAATTAACCACCCAGCCTTTTTTCATTGATGCAAAATGGTTTGTATTCAGTAAAGAGGATTTCACATCTGAATATATTTTGATATAGTGTTATGCACAACCCAATGTAAGGAACAAGGAAGAGAGCATAATCTTGCCTGTTCTCTGAGTATCATTTTTTAAGAGGGATATTTATTTACTTTATTATGGGGAAAGCACATGAATACCCACAGCTCTCTGTGCACATGGTTCATTGATGGCCTAATCTGACCTCGTCTCCTTTTTAAATTGGCAGTTTTGGTGAAATAAATCATATTCCTGAGAATGTATAACAATCCATGGTTGTTTGAAGTTATGTTCCGATTTTACTACATTGGAAATCACAATGTCAATTCAATGGTTATCAGTAATTTTTTCTGGCAATATATTGTTAGTAAAGAAAAAGACACACTGAAGTCAGCCATGGTTCCAATAACCACATATGATACACACTTGGATTTTGGGGGCAACAATATATTTAAAAATGTCTTTCACTTCCTTCTTTTGGGTTGTTTAACTTCCCAAACTAGCCTATAGCCTTGAAATTTTCTTTTTGGCCGACTATTAATCAGGTCCATCTTTCTTAGCTATCTTCTAACTCAACCAAATATCAGCCAGGAGCTGCTTCCTAAAAAATATTTTTTCCAGAGCCCTCCTCAAATATTGCAATGGCTAAGATTGCCTGTTTTAGATTGCCATAGCATCATTAGCCCCAGATGCAGGGGTGGGCTGCTGGGGGTTTGTAGGGGTTCGGGAGAACCTCTAGCTAAGATTCTGTGCAGTTTGGAGAACCCCCAAATCCCACTCCTGGCTGGTCCTGCCCACCCCGCCCTGCCCCTCCCAGGAATCCCCACTTGGCCTGTTTTGGATGCAGGGCGCACACGGAGGCTCGGGAATGAGTGAAAAATGGGCCTAGCGGAAGTTCAGGAAGGCCAGAAACGAGCCCGTTTCTGGCCTCCAGAGGGCCTCCAGAGCCTGGGGAGGCCATTTTCACCCTCCTGGAGGCTCGAGGAAACCGTCCAGATCCAGGGAGGGCAAAACGCCCCCCCCCATGGTGCAGGAGCCTGACTAGGCCACACCCACCATGGCCATGCCCACCCAGCAACCGGGCAGAGAACCCCTTGCTAAAATTTTTGAAGCCCACCCCTGCCCAGATGTATAGTAAGAGCCCATCTTACATTTTTTTGTCAATTTTATCATTTTTCCATCAATCAGATAACACTGTAGGTAATATAAATTCTGCATATCTTTATCAATGTGCAATGGCTTTTCGATCAACCTACCTGGTCTCTCTCATACACACCATTCTCATGTTTTCCACTATATTGAATATTTATTGTATTTTAAGCTGCCCAGAGTTGCCTTGATGGGTGGCATATAAGTTTAATGAATAAATAAATACATTTAATAAATAAATATTCCCAAATACACACTGAAGCATGCACATCTCTCTTTCAGTCTTCACTGAGAGCCTGTTTAAGACATTTGTCTGCCTGAAGTAAAATAGGAAATAGTGCTATCTCTTTTTCCCAGGTGTAGTAATTCAGTGGTAGCCAAATAATTTTGACAATTATTATAATTTTGACAAAAAGTGCCTGTTTCCCCTTCCTAGCACTATGTCTGCATGTGTGCGCATTACACAAAATAAATAATTTCTGCTTTATCAGAAAACAGCCACTCAAGAGAACAAAGCAAAAGCCCGCAAGAAGGGCAATACTTTTTACAGAATAACAGAGTTGGAAGGGACATTGGAGGTCTTCTAGTCCTACTCCCTGCTCAAGTAGGAGACCCCATTCCAGATAATCTCTTCTTAAAAACCCCACAACTTCTGAAGGCAAGCCATTCCACTGGTAATTGCTCTCACTGTTAGGAAATTTCTAGGTTGCTTTTCTCCTTGATTAGTTTCCATCCATTGTTTCTTGTCTTGCCTCTTGGTGCTTTGGAAAATAGGTTGACCCCACTCTTCTTTGTGGCAGCCCCTCAAATATTAGAACAGTGTTATTGTGTCACCCCTAGTTCTTCTCTTCACTAGCCTAGACAAACCCAATGCCTGCAACTGGACATAGGAGATGACCAGGCTGAGCCCAAGAACAGGATCAAATGTGTCATCAGTTTGGAGTTGCTATACCAGGGGTCTGCAACCTTAAACACTCAAAGAGCCATTTGGACCTGTTTCCCACAGAAAAGAAAACACCGGGAGCCACAAAACCTGGGTGGGCGTGGCCAACTCAACATCACTCCCACCCAGTTACATGACTCTCCAGCCTCACCTACCCAGGTTTTGTGGCTCCCAGTGTTTTCTATGGGAAATAGGTCTCTCTCTCTGTTCCTCCCTCCCTTCCTCCCTCTCATTTCTGTTTTTCTCTCTTTTTCCTCTCCCTCTCCCTCTTTTTCTTCCTTCCTTCCTTCTTTCCTTCTTTCCTTTCTCTCCCGCTTTTCTCTCTCATTTGTTTCCCTCTTTTCCCTCTCTCTCATTTCTCTCTCCCTCTCCCTCCCTCTCTCCCTTCTCTCATTTGTTTCACTCTCTCTCCCTCTTCCCTTCTCTCTCATTTATTTCTCTATCTCTCTCCCTCTCTTTCTCCCCCTTCTCTCTTTCATTTGTTTTTCTCTCTCTCCCTCTCTCCCTCCCTCCCTCCCTTTCATTTCTGTTTTTCTCTCCTTTTCCTCTCCCTCCCTTCGGCTGACCTGAAGATGAGCCTCTTCCTCTTTCTCCTCACTCGACCCCCTGGCTGGCTGTTGTGGGGCCCGGAGGGTGCGCACAAGTGAGGATACTCTCCTCAAGTGAGCGGAGCATTGCCGGTGGCACCATTAATTGAAAAGTGTTATCTGGGTGGCTTTAAATCTCACACGGAGGATTTTCATTGGAAAAGGGGGCTGGCACCACCGAACCTCGCACACCCACCCTGGGAATCAGACTTAGAGAAAGCCGGAGTGCCCTTGCCAAAGATGTTCGCCCACCAGCCAGTCAACCCGCCCACTCTGCTCACCTACGCTGTGCTTTGGACAAGCCTGGCCGCTCGATTGATGAGGATATCTCCACAACAGCTGGCCAGGGGGTGGAGGAGAAGGGTCGTACTCGCTCCTGAGTTGCAGACCTGTCTCCCTTTACGTTGTACCCTCCTCCCGGATCCTATTCCCACCCTGCCAACCTTAGCAAGGTTGGCGTCAGTCACGGTCGGGTTGGGCCAGTGTCTCAGGGCGGAGAGTAGGTCACACAACCAGGTTGGCATGGAGCCATAGGAGAGGAGTCAAAGAGCCACATGCGGCTCAGGAGCCACGGGTTGCCGACACCTGTGCTATACTTCCACAAGAGAACTAAGTCCAGCCTCCCATAATTTTGTAGACTCTTATCTAGGCCAATTTGCCTTGACCATTAGTAGATCAGATTCGTGTATATAGAAGTGGTATGAAATAAACTCCTCGTACTTTTGAAGTCTGTCCCACTTCCTGTTTTCTTGTGCCTAACAAGAAGAGCCTTTTCTGTTGTGGCCGTCACACTCTGGAATATTCTCCTGTCATAGGTGAAATCTGTCCCCCACAGTCCTGGCTTTCTGGAAAAGTCTAAAACTATGTTCTGCTACTTTGCTTGAGGCCCCAACAGGGATGTTACATTGGGGTTGACTGATAGGATAGAGAAGATTTAATAATCAATTGGTTTTTATTTTTAACTTTTTATTCCAATATTAATATCCTTCTAATAATGTTAGAAATTGCTACTGGGTTTTTTTGCAATTGTTAACTTTTTTTATTATATTGTAAGCCACCCAGAGTCACTGCATTAGTGGGATAGGTAGTTTCAAACTAAATACATTAATAATAAATAAAGAAATATATAAATAATCCAAATCCAGAAAAATAGGGTATTTTCTTCTAGTCCATCAATCTATATGTTTTCTCAGTCTACTCAATCTGCTACACTGAGAAATAAAAAAAATGTTTACCGAGATCTTTACTGATTAAAACAAATATATTGAAGTAAAATAACACTACAGAAAGAATGCAGACATTATTCTCTTTTTTCTCCTTGAAATGTGACTACGTTAATGCTCTTCATCAAAGAACTTGCCTTGATTTTATGATGATCGTATTAGTTTTTAGATCTTGCTGTGGTACAACACTGAAGCACGAAGAATAGTTTTAACTATAGTGCTACTCCTGCAGTTCCATAATAAAAATAAACACAAAAGATATATAAACAAAAGCAGCAAGAGCCATATTCGGTTCATCTAAAAACCAGCAACCTATCCAACTCCTATTCTCCTAGACTAAAATTAAAACATCAGCTATCAATTGTGTGGCAGAATATTGCTGCTTGTGAGCACTGTTGAAAACAACATGCTGGACAAAATTGACCACACAAAGAAGGACATTG